ACAGCGCCTGCTTGCAAGGGAAGAGAATACAATAATTAGCAGTAATACTACAAGAGCACATTGTAACAGGGTTCCCACTCACCACGAGGGTACCTCCTTGTGTCTAGATCTGGCTGGGAAAGTTGCCCTTACAATATGGGGTGCCCCCTTCTGCCCTCTGCAATAATCTCTTCTTCTTGGAACTTGGCCCTCTGGCCAGGGCCCCATTTAGTCCACCCCTTCCGGGACTGTGAAGCCTGACAGGACCACTATCCAAATGCCTTCCCCAGGGAGTGCTCAGCCCCAGCTCAGGCTCTGGGCCACCCTACCAGTGGCTGGCAGGGGAACCCAGGTCCACCTGCTGCACTGGGTTCCTGCCCAGGCAGGGCCGGCGCAACCCATTAGGTGACCTAGGCGGTTGCCTAGGGCGCTACAATTTGTGGGGCGGCGACCGCGGCGGTATTTAGGCGGTGGGACCTTCCGCCTCCTCTGTGAGGGGCGGCATTTCGGGATGGGACCTTCCGCCACCTAGGGCGGCAGAAAAGCTGGCGGCACTCCTGTGCCCAGGGACCCTATAGCCTTCAATCCATGTCTGCTCAGTCCCCATTCCCTGTTGCTGTGTCCCTGGGCTTGGCTCCTTCCTACCCAGCCCCTCTCTTCCCTTGCCTGTTTCTGGGTTTACCACAGGAGCAAACTCTGCTCCCTGTGGCTACTTCACCCCCCTCTTTGCCTCTTACCAGACTCCTTACTCTAGGGCAGGATCACAGGGGTTATTCATCCCTTGGACTCTCTCCTTGCCCCTGACAGCCTTCCACAGAGTGACCATAACCTCCCTCCCCTTTAGTCCCATTCCCCACACAGCTTCCTGGCTTTATAGAGCTGTCCCAGCCCATCTTCACTCTCAGCTAACCCTGGCCCTCCCTCTCCCAGGTGACCTAACTGGCCTCTCAGGCTGCTGTTAGCCCTATCAGGGCTGGTGTGGGGTGCCCACTCCATCACATACGCAAAGGCCCCAAATCAAAGAGGGGCTCCATTGTGCTAAGGGCTGTCCTGAAGAGCTTGCAATCTAAGCAGGAAAAGGGTGTGAGGGGAAACAGAGGGGCGGTGACTTGCCTGGCGGGTCAGTGGAAGAACTGGGACCAGAACTGAGTGCTCCTGAGTCCCAGTCCAGTGCTCCGCCCACTAGAGCACACTGCCTGTCCGTGATACAGCTCTGCCACTGGTGATCAGATCTGTAGTTCTTTTATTTCCCAACCAAAAATGGAGGCATCTTCAAAGCTCCTATTAGCTACTATTACTGTTTTTAAACAGCTGTTTCTTTGAATGATATCTTTATTACAGCCTGGTAAATTACATGTGCTGAACTAAAAATCAGGGTCAAGTTCCCAGTATGGATCACAGTGGATCAAAACTGTGTAAATAGGAGACAACATAGTTTGAGCTGCTCTACATGTCAGGGCAGGATTGCAAATGCATCATGTGGCTCCCTTGCCTCTGAGAGCTGGGCATTTCTTCTCTCCAATGGCTTGGTGAGGAGGGGCTAGACAAGAGCGTTAGTGCCTCCTTTTATGTCCTTGCACTATTGTCTGAAACGCGTGTCCCCTCTATATGAGATGTGCTTTTTTATTGACTTTAAGAAATCAGATTTATTTTGTTAATAGAGTTGTGTGGAGCAGCCAGACATACAACAGCAGCTAGTTGTTTTCATGATTCCTGGGTTTTTTTAATGGTATTTTACTTAGTGGATAGAAAACAATCCCTACAATTACTTTTGTCTGGCACGAATCTGTTGTGTCATTTGCATAAGATCATGGAAAGAAGGGATTTTTATATGTCCGCTTAGCTCCACTGATTTTATTCAAGCTACATCAATTTACAGCAGCTGAGGGATTGGCCCAGGGTTTCTAGTGAACTAAGGTCTCACTTATCACCCAAGTGCTGGAAAATAATATTTAGCTGCTACTCTGTCATGAAACCATGAATGCAATAGCCATCAGGTCTATGAGCTGATAACTAAGGGGCTTCTGTCTATACATTTACCACCATCTCTAAACCTGCTGTGGTATCTGTCACCCATACTCCCAAACCAGAACTAGGCCAACCTCTGATATCAGATGCATGGGTATGGTAAGGAACCGACATGTTCATTCCTGGCCTCGGTCTCATGAGTTGTCTCAAGGTTCTGAAAGCAGACTGGGGTGAGTATCCACGCTGCTCCTAGAGAAGGGATTTGGGGCCAAGGAGGAGGCAGAACACTGCATTATGCACTAGGGATTAAAAGGGGGAAGCCCCTGATTCTTCAGGCACTCCGCTCTGCACAGCAGAGCTCCTAGCCAGCACCAAACCACAGCACACAGCCCTGAAGCATCAACAGTAAAGATCATGCCAACATAGCGTGTGCCTGGTAATGCGCCCCATGGCTGCAGGTTGTGCAGCCTTGGCTGAGCTGTCCCTGCTCTCCTCTGATTCAGCGCTTGCATGGGACATGCTGACTCACAAAGAATCAGATTCCCAGCCACAGCTTGCTGTACCTGTGCGTAAGGCTAGTCCTGGAGCCAGTTATAGGCACTGATTCAACAAGGTTCTCGAGGCATGTGATTTGCCCAGAGGCCCCCAAGTTTTTGAAAGTCATGACCCCCCTTACCCCTGTCTGTGACACCCCCCCCCCTCCGGTGGGGGCCAGCAATCAGGTGTAGCTCCGCTCCTGGCCTTGCCCCCAGCCTTGGCCCTGGGCTGGGAAGAGAGCTGCGGCCAGTGGCCGAGGTTGGGGGTTGTCACGGGTGGGGAGAGGAGCTGCATCAAGGCTGGGGACGGGGCCAGGTGCAGGGCCGGTAGCCAGGGACGCAGCTGGAGGCGGGACTGGAGCAGAGCTGGGGGCAGGGAGGGGCTGGGGGGCACTCCCTACCCGCCCGTGTGGAGGCTGGACCAGGCCCCAGCGGATGGTCCTCCATGCCCCCCTATGGGGGCACATCCCACACTTTGAGGTGCTCTGGACTAGCCCCATTTACTTCACTATGTTAAGGACCCTGCTGAATGGGGACCATAGTGATAGACAATGCTTTGCAGGCTGCTGGGGTTTGTTTGCCATCTAAGAGGCCTGAGTGTAGAAGAGATTCCCCTGGCTGGTGGTGGCTGGATCTGATATAATCAGCCTCTGGGGTGCCACAAATTCCTCAGCAATGGCCCTTGAGTCAGGAAGGAGCCCTGACCAGGCCTACTCAGCCAAGAGAAAGAGAAAGTTTAAAAGCATCAAAATGAAGGCCGCACTGCTGCTCCCATTCAGGTTAATGGCGAAATTCCAGCTGACTCCAGTGAGAACAGGTACAAAGGGATGATCAGGCTTCCAAACTGTGTGTGCAAACGAATTCCAGGAGGACAAACCTCTTCAGGAACTACACACCTCATAGCCTAGGGAGAAATACTAAGGAGAGAGGGAAGCTCCATGTAATGCCTTTTGTTTAACTAACAAGCAAGGAGTTATAGGGGTTTTTCCAAGAAAAACTCCCACTGATTTCCTTCGGAGTTTGCCTGCATAGGGATGGGTGTGTAACACACCAATATGCAGCATTTTATAGGACGTTATAGAGCCCTGCACAGATATTGACTAATTATTATTGTTCCCCTTTACAGCCAGGGAACAGTAAAGCAACGCAACCAGTGTCACAGATCAGTTGCAGAGACGGGATTAGAATTTGGGACCTCCAGCCTTGCACTAATTCCACCAGACCAGGCTGCCTTCCAGTGAAAGGTGAAGGGGCATGATGAGCGTCACACAGGGACAGGAATCTGGTGAATAAAAGCAATCCATAAACAATTCAGAAGTAGGGCAGTCTTAAGGGAGGGCTCAGATTGAACAGACGAAGGCTGACCAGGTAGCAAGTGTGAAAAATCGGGACGGGGTGGGGGGTAATAGGAGCCTATATAAGAAAAAAACCCAAATATAGGGATTGTTCCTATAAAATCTGGACATCTGGTCACCCTACACACGTAATGGCCATTAAGTGACAAGCCAATCAAAACACAGCAGAAAGCATCTGTGGCTATAAAAGGTTGTTGTTTTTTAGTAAAGAGCAGATGGGTTAAAAATGTATTTTAGAAAGGCAACCATCTAGGTTAATATCTTCTCCCGAGCAGTCCCTGAGTCTTTTGTGTATTGGTCTTGCCTGTCTTCAGCAAAAGCCCTGTAACATAAGACTGCCTCTAATGTGCTATTATATTATAAAGCACCAGCACACTTGATAATCAGCGTTCAGCCAGGCTCAAAGACACACGGTTCAAACGGATCAGAGAAAGGACTGAAGGAAGTTGTAGAGGGGACACGACTTGATACAAGAAGGGGATGGGCTCTCTGCTCACAGGGGGCTGGACTGTTGTCCCTGGGGCAGGCGGTTTGAGCGCCGATGGTATTGACTGGTAAGTTATTAGGGCGATTTTCCAGCCTGTGCTAGGCAGCAGGTCAGACTTCATCAGACGGGTCCCTTGGGGACTAGCTGGTAGTACAGCTTCGCCTTCACCGCCACACTCCGGCTGGCGCGCTGGGAATCGCGGCGGGCACCATTTCCAGGGGAGCGCCAGGCTCAGCACAAGACCAGCCCCGGCTCAATAGCTCCGCTTAGGGGCCGGGGTTTCCCGTTTCCCGGAGCAGCGTGTCGGTCGCGCCGATCCAGCCCCATGGAGCTGAGGCGGGCCCCGGACATTCACGCCCGGGGGGGGAGAGGTGGCGGCGGAGGGGCGTGTCGTTGCCCTTTTAAGGCGCCTGCCTCGCCGGCGCCGGGGTGTGTCGGGGGGCGGGGTTTGATGGATTGAACTGCGGCTGCTTTCCTAGCTCAGAGCCGAAGGGGGAGCCGGAGCGAGCGGAGCGGCGCTTTCGGGGGCAGCGCGCCTGGCCAGGGACAGGGCGCCCCGGAATGAGCGGGGCGGGCGCCGCTCGGAGGACTTGATCCGGGGCTGGGGGCCGCGTGTCTCCCGGCCGCCCCCACGGGAAGGGTCCGCCCGCCCGCGGAGCAGGGGAAGGAGGGAGCCCGGCCGGACCCAGCCCAGAGGCGGCGGCTGAGTGGTTGATGGCCCCGCAGGCTCCTAGCGTGGACTCCGGGCTGATCGCGCCCTGGCTGCGCTGATTGCAGCCCCGGCCCCTGGGCTGCCCCTGCCGGGGACACCGCGCCGCGCGGGGCGGCTGCTGAGAGCGCGCCCGGGGGGATTGCTGCAGCGCCCCGTCGCGACGGGGATGGGCGCGCTGTAAAAAAGCCCCCGATTTGAAACCCCTCCCGTGGCTTGGCCAGATCCCAGCTGCGCCGGCGGCGGAGGTGGTGGGGGGCCATGGGGAACATCTCCTCCAACATCTCCGCTTTCCAGTCCCTGCACATCGTCATGCTGGGCTTGGACTCGGCCGGCAAGACCACCGTCCTCTACCGCCTCAAGTTCAACGAGTTCGTCAACACGGTGCCCACCATCGGCTTCAACACCGAGAAGATCCGGCTGAGCAACGGCACGGCCAAGGGCATCAGCTGCCACTTCTGGGACGTGGGCGGCCAGGAGAAGCTGCGGCCGCTCTGGAAGTCCTACAGCCGCTGCACCGACGGCATCATCTACGTGGTGGACTCGGTGGACGTGGACCGGCTGGAGGAGGCCAAGACCGAGCTGCACAAGGTGACCAAGTTCGCCGAGAACCAGGGCACCCCCTTGCTGGTCATCGCCAACAAGCAGGACCTGCCCAAGTCCCTGCCCGTGGCCGAGCTGGAGAAGCAGCTGGCGCTGCATGAGCTCGCCCCCTCCACCACCTACCACGTCCAGCCCGCCTGCGCCATCATCGGCGAGGGGCTCACCGAGGGCATGGACAAGCTCTACGAGATGATCCTCAAGCGCAGGAAGTCCCTCAAGCAGAGGAAGAAACGATAACCGCCGGGCTCAAACCCCGCTAGCCTGAAACATTGCCGGGCCGGCCTCCCTAGTGTCTGTGTCTAGACGGGCGCTCGGCCCCCCAGCGCCTTTCATTGGGGTCGCCACTGCTCTTAACTTGCTGGCAGGACTAGGAGGTGGGTGAGGCTGGCGTCTGGGTGAAGCGGCTGCTGTTTACCCCCCCGGACGATCAGATCAGCTCGCCTCTGAGCTTGGGAGGGAATTGCCTTTCCTTTTAAATCGGAGTATTTGCGGTGGAGCTTGATGCAACAGGGCTGGCCCCTGTGAAACTGAGCTTGAATTTGCTCCTGTCGGTGGATCTTTAAAAACAAAACAAAAAAGTGTGTGTGTGTTGGGGGGAATACTGCTCCAGGAAGCACTGGATGCTGAGGCATCTGTTTTGTGGTTGGAAAACTGTGGTAGGAAATCACAGGCCAATACATCTTGCTGAATGGTGGATAGGTAAGGTGAGCCTCCTGGGAGAACTGCTTTTCAGGTTGCACCAGACCTCCCCTTCCCCCCACCCCCTTCGGATTCAGTCCATATGTGGGTCATTATCTCACACAACAAATCAGACCAACAAAATCTATGAAGCCCTGGAATGAATGAATGATACACTACTGCTTGCAGTAGCTGTTGTGCTTAAAGGGAATGCCCAGTTGTTTCAACTGAGGGTGCCCATCCTATTTTAAAAACAAAGTCTATCTAAGGAGAGAAATGTATTGATCCATGGGGGATTTAAAGCTATAGAGCCAGCTGGATGGCTTGTGACCAGCTGTTGACTGGTGCTGAGTTTTAAGCTGTTTGCTAACAGGGGTTCTGTATGAATTTTGCCATGAAGGGTTCTCAAGCATCTCTTCATTTTCAAAGGTTTATTTTATTTTTTTTAACAGACTATCCTGTAGCAATGGTAAGCAGTATGTCTTGCCACTTTATTGCTGTAGCCTACAGGGTGGGGACATGTTCGGATTGTCTAATTTGGTTCAATCTGGTTGATTCAATTTGCGCACTCCATTTAAAAAAATAAGCCTCATGACACTGCTGGATGACAGTTCACCTCATCTGCATGGATATAAAAGCAAACAGAAAAGCACAAGAGTTGCTAATTAAACTCTGGTATAAACATGGACTGTGAATCAAGCCAGTACTTGGATCACCAGAATACAAACATTAGGCAGCTAAGCTAAACTTGTACCACCCAAAATGGCAAGAGTTTGCAAAATCTCTAACGCAAAGGGATATTGGAGTGCAGAGCAGAGTGCGAAGTGGAAGTTTTAAGAACTTTTTGATGATACAACCAAAGGTTTTTAACGTTCAAGGCTGAGAGTCCTAGCTGCAAAGCATGCAAGGGGAGATTGTCCTAGTGCAGTAAATGTACAACAGGCTTAGACTTGTTTCCAATCACTTCACTAGTGCAGGATCAAGCCCAGTGTTTTAGCAAGATCCTGGCTGGCTGGCCCTTCCCCATCAATTGGTGTTTTGACATTAACTTCACTGAGCACAGGATTGGACCCTAAATATACATAAGCTGGCTGCTTCTTGGTCAGTCTCTCTCTCATGGAAACCCACCTCACAATGAGAAAATTCTGATGCTCAGAATTTCATAACAAGAAGAGAGTTTGGAAATCAGCAGCAAGCAGTTTTTTGCATACCAGTGTCCCACACCTGTGGTTCAGTGGTCTTAACATGGTCCTGTGAGAATTTCTGGTGACTGAAGTATTTGGCTTTCTGCTTGAGTGCATTTCCCAAACAAAGAAAAACCCTGGGTGACTTTCAGGCAGCTGATTCTCCTTTTCAGCAATGAACTCAGTACTTTCCCAATAGCATTTTGTAGAAATCCAATATTGAAACCAAATGGTATTTAGATGCCTGCAAGATTCCAGTTTACAGGAGTAGTGACTGCTTCACTAATCTAAGAAGTGGGCTGGTCCCATCATTTCAGGAGGGTCTGTACAGTTTCATTGGAATTTTTTGTTTTTCTTTGCCTTCACATGAAACACTTTCTGAAGCACTTTGACATTTGGTAGTTCCACACTATTGAGAGAGAGAATATATTTATTTTGTGACACTGCAGAAGCCAAATGCTCCAACCTTTGTTTTGAATGTTAAAAGTGTTTAGGGGTTAAATAAAAAGGTTCTGATCAAAACCTGTCATGCTTTAAAAATAACACATATTACAGGGGGGTTTTCCCCCACTGTCAAGACTTGATTCTTGATCCTGCAGACAACTTTACTGAGGCAAATAGTTCCATTAATTTAAATGGAACTGTTTGTGGAAATAGGACATGCAGTTGCAGGATTGGCTCCTTACTGGACAGTCAGTTAAACTGGCCCTAATTAAGCAAATTACTTAAGCATTGCCTAATTTGATCCCTATCCAGCAAAAGCACTGAAGGATGTGCTTAACTTTATGCATATGTTTAGGCACTGTGCTGGCTAGGGGCCAAATAGATCCAGGGTCATGGTCACTAGTTGTACATTTTTGCAGTAAGTTAAAATACTTCTCCAATTAGTAGTTAACAGGGTCATTGGTATTTCTACAGTGTTTCAGGACTGTAATGACTATTCCTGAGTGCTAGGGCTGAGTTGAGCTGTGTTATCTGCAACTGAGTCCTCTGAAACCGTGATTACAGAAAAGCTTTACCTAGTCTGCTGTTCTAAAATCACAGTTGGATTTACTCCAGGTTGTGTGTCTTCACAACAATTTTTTTGGAGGAAAAAAAAAAAATTTTTTTTTTTTTTCAGCAGATGTCCTGAGATGCCAGTCACATTTCAGACTTTGTCTTCACAGTGTACCTGGAACTTAAGAAAAATGCCATGTTATGTAGTATAACTTTTCATTTTATCTTGTCATCCATCCTCTGTTCTTTCCATCTTTCCTCTTTTAAAAAAAAAAAAAAAAAAAGATGCAAACATGATGCTGTGAACTGAAATAAATTATTTATACGATGAAGAATTTGACAGAAGTCTTTGTTCTTTCTCTTAATAATTCAACGTGTTTTCATCCATAGCTCTCAAACCACTTTTCAAAGGAAGTCGGTATCATTATCCCCATTTTACAGATGGGGAAACAGAGGCACAGAGAAGGGAAATGACTTGCTCAAGGTCAACCAGTGGCAGAGCCAGGGATAGAATTCAGGTCTCCCGAGTCCTCGTGCAGTGCACTAGCCACCAGGCTACACCGCCTCAGAGAAAGATAATCTTGTGGATAATCACAGGACTGGGACTCAGGACACTGAGTTCAATTCCCAGTGCAGCTAAAAACTCCCTGTGCAAGTTGGGCAAATAATTTAATCTCTCTGCACCTCATGTCCCCATATGTAAAATGTAGATAACACCATTGTCTGTCTTGTCTAGTGAGACTAAATTCTTCAGATGAGGGCCTGTCCCTCACTATGCATTAGTACAGCACCTAGTGCACGGGGTTCTCTAGTCATGACTAAAATAAATAATGAAGGAAAAAATAATAGTTCTGACTTACACCAGACCTACAACAGCAGCTGAGGACAGGGAGCTCTGCGATTGCATGGCTTCTCTGAACATTGGTCCTGCTAACAATAGTGAATTTAGAAACATCAGGACTTCGGTTGCTGTTCACCTGCCAAATAAAGTGTGGCACAGAGTGCTCAAGGTGGGAGCTGTTGATAAGCGAGATGTGTGTATCATGCTGTGAAGTCGGGACATGTTCCTGAAGGTGCACCGTGATGTTGCTGTGGGGGGCTTTCCAAACATGATGTACACATCAGTCCCATGTGTGCCAAGATTTACACACCTGCTTAGCTTTACGCAGCATGCGTAGCCCTGTTGACTTAAAAGGGATTGTATGCACAGTGCATAAAGATAAGCACGGGCATAAGTCTTTGCAGGAGCAAGGCTAGAGTCCTGTATGATGGATAACACATGAATGTAAAGTATGCTAGAGAGGCTGTTAGTTACATATAGAGTTATGGAGGCAGATTTCTGCCCTGCTAAAGCTCCATGCTGGGCCAAGCACTTTTAAAGTCAGTGTGGGGACTTCCCGGTGTGAGGTACTGGGTGGGGGGGGGTGGTTTTTGGCAGCACGGCCAGGGTGTTAAGTGCATTCTGGCACGTCCCAGCTGCCACAACAGGCCTTAGGGGCACTTCACTGCAGCCCTGAGGCTGGTCTAACCAGGTTCCAGATCAGTGCCTCAGGTACATTATTTCAGCTAAACTATGGCACTTGTGCATTATTATTAGCACCATAGCAGCATCTGCAGCCTTCAGCTGAGATCAGGGCCCCATCATTCTAGCACTACACAGACAGCCTTTCTTCAAAACAGCTTAGGTCCAGATCTCAAAAGCATTTAGGTGCCTAATTCCCATTGATTTCAATACCGAGGAGGATTTGGGCTTTACATGCGAAATGGACCAAGTGGGGCAGGGGCAACAGAGATGCACAGCAGTGAGCCCATGCACGCACCTAAGGTCACATAGCCAGTGACCACATCTTGAGTCTCCTGCCACCCAGGCCAGTGCTCGATCTACTAAACCATGCTTCCTCTAGCTGCATCTCACAACTTAACCAAGACATCCCATTCACACAACTGTGCCTCAAGAAGCACGTTTTACTGCAGCATGCAGCCTTGGCAAATTTCCTAACCTAGATGGGGCCAGCTTGTGTTCTGATTCCCAAGGGCAGGCTGCAACTGTGCTATGCGTTTCACTGGGATATGGGGGGAGTTGGCTATAGGCCATTGATTGAACTGAGAAGAGATACTGAGCTGTGATTAAGTGGTTGTCCAGTCTAATTACTATACCTGGTCCTGTTTGCCGCAGCTAGCCCTTTAGAACAAAGGGGACTCCAAGCCATTCCCAGCTCCACCCTCTGGGACCTAAATATGCACTGACTAAAATGTAAGCAAACTTAAAACTAAATGTGCAGACTGAAAATGCCACAAACAAACTCAACAGGAGTACTTGTGGCACCTTAGAGACTAACACATTTATTTGAGCATAAGCTTTCGTGGGCTACAGCTAGGGTGACCAGACGTCCCGATAAAATCGGGACTGTCCCGATATTTAGGCGTTTGTCCCGTGTCCTGACCTATGTTGGTCGGGACGCAATTTGTCCTGATATTTCGCACTCCTGGTTTTGTTTTGTTTTTGGTTTTTTTGCTACGCCGGCGG